AAAAAAAAAAAATACAACAACCTTTATAAAAACATCCCCTTGGCCTGGAAAAATTTGGGGGGGGGGGGGGAGGTGGCTGGGTGAGGAAAGCAATTCAAAAATTTCCCCATCTCGATTCTCTTTAGCATAAGAGGGGAGAGAAATAATCTCTATCAGGCTTTCAGGTGTCTGACACTATACCCTATAATAATAGAGTTCCAATAGTTCATGCAGTGTCTATTTCCTGACCTGGTCTACCCTGAAGGGCTGACTCAAGGCTGATTAATTTGTCTCAAAGCCAAATTACTGCTGTAACTGGCTCGTGGGATGGTTGATACTGCTTCCCCCATCTTCTTGATTTCTATATGGCTTTTATAGATTTATTTGTGTTTTAATCGGGCGTATTTATATTTTTATTGTTTTTATTGTGTTGGTTTTTAATTGTAAGCTGCCCAGAGCCACCCTCTGGGGGAGATGGGCAGCATATGAATTTAACAATAAATAAATAATAATAAATAAAAAATCAGAATAAGAACTAGGATGCAATTCTTTTTGCCCTCCCTGTGATTTGATTTCAAGGTGGCCATTATGAAATAGAAGGCAGAGTTAGAAAGTTTTTCCTACTGGAAAGGACAAGAAACCAAAAGATCTTTTCAAAAGCACATGCAGGAGCAGTGGGAAAAGTGAAGTTATCAGTAGTAAGGCTTAAAAATGTCACCCCACCTAGATTTCTCCATTTCTGAAATGCCTCCCTAACTTGAGATTGTAGATAAACTGACAAATTTAGGGGGAGAGTATTTGGCTCAGTCTTGGATTAGAAAATGCAGTACCAGCCATTATGGTCTTCCATGTGGCAACCCAGCAGTTTTGCCATATGCTGAGGTCTTGCAACAAGGGCAAGCAAATTGGTGTCGTTTTTTCACTGAAGTTGATGGGAGAATCCAACAAGATCAAAGCAATGTTGTTTCTCAGACTTGTACTGTTGAAATCTTCATGGATGATCACCCTGTCCAACTTCTTTTTCTCTGAAGGCTTCCCATGCAAGCTGACCACTATGGGGAGATCTGAAGAACTTGGGAACAAAGAAGATGGCATCAACACATTAATGAAATGTATCTATGACCCTAAGAGCTGGCCCGAGGAATCAAGAAGTAAGATATACTGTTCAGTTGAACCAATGGTATATTTAGTGCAAAAATGTTATAAAAGATGAGTATATCTTTTGAACTGAACCTATACATAAGCTACAAATTACCCATTTTTTTTCAAAATCCCTTGAATTCCCAGCTTGGAATGGCCTGAACTGTAAGGTATGGATTGGTGTACCTGGGAGCTTGGACAGAGAAAAAGAGGTCAAAGCATTAGCTAAGACTGCCTCATTCCAACTGGCTGGGTAAACAGTGAATGGGGATCCTACAACAAACGAAGTAGAGCAGGCAGGATAAGTTGAATTAGCCTGCTGTCGGGGACTGGTGGTGGGAATATGAAAGAGGAGTGTTTTCATTGTTACCACGTGGATGTTCCTGTTCAAAGTTCTATTCCTTCCTCATGCAGTTTGCTAGTTCTCCCCTGCCATTAGTTGCATCCATATCAATTTAGCATGCCTCAGTCCTTACTCAATTGTTATGAGACTGTGTTATCACCCTTTATTTTCCTAAAGATGCTTGCACTTCCCTTGAATCTATTGGCATCTGTCTTATATCTTCTTTGCAATACTTACAGATCCTCCATGAAGCAGCGAGCTGCAGACAGGATCCACCAGCTGCTCAGAATTGCCCCTCTGCAGATAAGCTTATCTTTGGTTTGGATGCTGACCTGCCAGGGTAGGGTTTCAGACGCACTTGCTGGGGTTCCCTCTTTGAGTCTTGGTACTGTCCATGAAGTGGCTCTGAATTTGGGACTCAGGCCACATGAAGAAATTGGAACGGTAGGCAATGTACTTAATTCTGTTTAAAAAAAATGGAATTCATTCCTCTAAATTTGTGCCCGTTTTCCAAGTGTGAGAAAGTTGAGTGTGAGCTGGTTGGAACTGTATATCTTAGCCAGACTCTGTGATAATAGGACCTAGACAGCTCCAAGATTGTCATATTTTTCTCATGGGATGTATGGAAAAAATACATTAAAAAAAGATTCCACCTACTTGCATAACAGACTTTCATTGAGGAGGCCAGAAACAGAAGCACAAGCAGCAGCATTTTACCCTCTTTCTAAAGGAGTCCTCCACTTTTAAACTAAACACTAAACAAAGTACTTCCTACAATCCTCATTGTGTAGGTCAGAACAAATGTGTTTGCCTAGAAGTGGCACAGCCCACATTTCCCCTGCCCCATGTGACCTCATGCACTAGCTAGGTCACCTGGGATGATGTCATAATGGAATCCTGGGGTTTGCCTGGTATTTGCAAGCCCAGCAACAAGGGGGTGAATGTGTGTCCAAGCTTCTGAAATTTCCAAGGGTTCGGTTTTTTGAATGGTGAAAGAGTCAAGTGTTGCAAGTACCCAGGAAAAGGGCAGCTATCCCAGTAAAGAAAAGGCCTGTGCAGGTTTGAGACTGAGGGCAATATTTGATCTTTAAGAGGAGTTCCAGGGGTCACATTCCAAAAAGTAGAGGCTAGGACAAAGAGGTAGGCAGAATCAAGGAAAAAATAATTTTGATTTGATTATAGTTTGGCAGCAATTTTAGAAGGGCTTCTATATAAAGCTATTTTTTTAATGAAATAATAATAAAATTTAGGGTTAATGGAAGCCTCTGATTTACTGTATGACCAAGTTAAAAAGACTACTAGTTCAAATTATATCAAATGAGTCCAAAATATTTTAAAATCTAAATTACATCACGGAAATATTGTTAAAGCAATGAACACTTGGTCAGTCCATGTAATTAGCTAAATAGCAGGGATAATGGACTGGCCCCAACCTGAATTAGACAAATTGGATAGGAAAACAAGAAAACTAATGACCGTACATCATGCTTTTTACCCAAGAAGTGACATTCACAGATTATACATATCCAGAAATAGTGCCGGTTAAAGCACTATTAATAGTGCTGTAAAAAACTATTGCAAGAAGAAAAACATAGTCTGAATGATTACAGACAAAAAGTAAACAGGCTCTGCTTATGAAAATTTGTAAGGAAAAGCTCTTGGAGACAACAAAAACTAAATTTGAAGTAATTCAAAGTCAGATTAACACCTGGAAAAGCAAGCCATTCTATGGCCAGAATATGTATGATGCTGAAAGAAAAGCAGATCAAAATCTAACATGACTCTAGTTGAAACCTGGAACATATAAAAAAGAACAATCATAGCAGCTCAAGAACATGCCCTGCAAACCAATACCATCAAAGCCAAAAATGCAATTATGTAAAATAAACCAGTAGACAATCTCATTAGGGGCTGTAATAAAACCACTGAACAGGGTGGACATACTATAGCGCCTTGATACAGCGCCATGAAAATTGTCCCCTGGAATTTATGTAGAAAACTTGGCTTTACTATTTGTATAGATCACTGGGAACTAAAAAAGTTTTGCAAAATGAGAAGATAAAAATTTTGTGGGATTTCAAAACTGAAATTGATAGGAACTTAAAACACAATACACCATATATTACTGTTACAGAAAAGGTGTGATTCATCGATGTGGCAATATCAGAGACAGCTAAGTTGATGAAAAATAACTGGAGAAAATAAAATATTGTGATTTTCAAACTGAGATCAACATTGTGAAGAGAAAGGTCAAACATCATACAAATCATAATTGTTGCTTTTGGCATTCAATATTTGGATTCATTAAATACTTAGAAAGTTTAAACGTACTGGACCTCAAACAACTAATTTTGCTAAAATTATCCTACTCAGAACAGCAACATTTTATAGCAATCCCTCTTAGTTCCTTGGTTAACACCCAATTAGACTGTGATATTCATTTGGAGGAACAGAACGTATTATTAATAGTAATAATAATAAACCAGTTGTTACAGTCTCCAGCCCTAATCTCAGCAGAAACAAAAACAGAGACACCTGGTCAAATGAAAGATAATGCAAAGGTTAAGTAGTAAGTTTAGCTATTATCCTTCATTCCTGCATCACTGTTCTTCAACAAAAATTGGAGGAACAGGGATTGGGCAAGGTACTTTCATTCATGGGGTAGGGGGTCTTCTAAAAGCCCATTCAAAAAATAGATGGCGCCAGAAAAGAGTGGGTGGAACCTAAAAGTAAGTGGAGACAGGAGGATGCAATATGTGTGGTGATGTTGAGAAGCAGTCAAGCCCGTATTACATACACAAGCAGGACCCGGGATATTATGTTTGTATGCGTTGCGGGGTGAGGACTGATGGCTTTATTTTTAAAACTGTGTTAAGCCTACCTTAGTATTTACCCTGCACTATTATGTTGCTTTTTAATGAGATGGTTGGTGACAAATTTGGTGTGTGTGTGTGTTTCCCATCTCAAAATGATTTTAAAAATTCAGCAATTACACTGTCAAAATTAAGCCCCTTATTGAGAGGAACTACTGGGAGTGTTTCTTCATCATTTGAAAAGATGGAAAAGATGCATGATAAAAGTTAAAGAGATCCATTTTAAATCATTTCTGACATTCAAATTTACATATTGGACATCTGTAATTCCTGCTCTAATCTTACATTTCTGAATACTATGGTCTGTTTACCAACAGATTATCACACATTGATCTTTATCCTCATAATGCTTTGTAGTCAAGTCATGGGGATCTTTTGAGAAATCCTCCAGTCTTGTCTGAGAGGCAATTTATTCTCTTTTCACCCAAAATAATAGCTCTCTGAATGGTTTTGCAGAGATGCAATAGTGGCAGAAAATTAAGACTATTTTTGCTGCCATCATCACCCCCAAATATGAGATCTCATTTGTCCTCGGTGAAACTCAAGCTTTTTCCACTGTTGCTCTAGTTGTCTTTTTACTTGCTTCATTACTCCCAGCTCCCTAATTAATTGGGGTGTGCATGCTTATGAGCTCTGCAATGAAGAATAAATGCTTATGAGTATATGTAAAAATTGCTTGGCTCATTTCCAGATTCCATTAATTAAGCAGGGTGTTGGCAGAATTGACAGCCATCTATCCACACCAGTCTCCAAGGGCAAACCAAATTCATGGAGGGTAAAACTATCAATGGCTATTAGATCACAGGGATATTTTTCTCAGTACTCTAAAATTGCACTCATATCCTGCTGGCAGTCTTCCCAGTGATATCTGGTTGGCCAATATGGGAAGAAGGATGTTGGATTAAAGAGGTCTTTGGTTTAATTCCGCATGGTCTTTATGTTCTTATGACCCTGCTCTACTGAACCTTAGATAATGCAGGTCTAGAGGATGGGGTTATTTTTCATATGTCTCATAGAGAGATTTGGCCATGCCTTCAAGAGAAGGGACTTCTAAATAAATATACCGGAATCTCCTCTGACAGTGTTGAAAAACTCAACTGGCACCAGAGTGATGTCAAAGAAGGAAGTGTAGAAGAAAAGGTATCATTTTCCTGAAAGCAACTGTGACACTCAAAGAAACAATCTGAATGAGAAGGATTGGATCTATAATTCTCATTGAAAGCTGATGGGTATAAATAGATATATTCTAGTTCATATATTACAGCCAGATATATTCTGGCTACAAATCAGATTATATTCATAAGTGCCAATAATTAAGAAGAAAGGCCCAGAACAGAAAAAAAACATTTTATCCCTGGGCTTATGTGTGTGTGTGTGTTTTAAGAAAATAGCAGTTATAGGGGATAATATGGATTGGAAGCCCTTTGTATGAAGAAAAAGGTCTGACCTTCTCTCCACAAGCTGTTTTCTGAATGAACCCTTTTCCCCAAACTGTAAATTATTGCTATTTGCCACAGTTGAGCTAACAAGCAAGTCTCCCATCTCTCTGACATACATGAAGCAAAATGGCATGAAATGGATACTGACATTTTGCCATTCTGTCGTATCTTACTTAATGATTCGGACACTAATGATGCCACACACACACACACACACACACACACACACACACGGTTATGCCAATAAATTACTCCTTAGAAGAGAAGGTCTCTAAACCTAGGCCAAAATATACACTTAAGATTGCCCTTTGTTCAGAGGAAAAGTGCCAAATTTTCTGAGGAAACTAGTAATAAAAAGTGAGTATGCTCCATTTTCAGGTCCCACACACTTCCTTAGGTCTAAATTATTATTCAAGATGAGACATCTACAAAATAATCTCAACTCAAAGGGCTCAACAACTTCCTTATGACTTTATCTTGCTTCAGTGAACTGATTCACATAACAGATTGATCATAATGCATTCAGCTAACTTTTAAAAATGCCCATTTTGTGAAAAAAAGTCCTCCCTGACCTCCAAGTCACTTTGTGGGGTGAAGGTCCATATTTTTGAAAAATATATAAATCATGCATCTATTAGTAAAAGTTAAATAAAATTCCCACCACAAAATCAATGAAAAATTGAATTGTAAGTCTAGTCTAGAAATGGCATGAATTCTATTGGCAGGATAAGCAATTATCACTAAAGTATAAGAAACACAAAATAATAGCCCATTTCACAGAAAATGCTGTGAGTTATCATTCTTAAGCAAGATACTAGGGTGTGCTGTCTGATCACTCCTATTTGCCTGTTCCATATAATGGAAATAGTTAAACTGATCAGGAAACCGTTACTGATAGTTTGGTTCTTGTTACAATTGAAGTAGACTTCCTGGGTTGCCATGAACCAGAAGCCAAGAATAAAACTTGGTTCAAAATTCTAGCTCATTAAGAAGACACTGTCTTAGTGTTGAGAATGGTACTGAGGTGTTGTAGGCTGTATGCCAGTTAAAGGATGCTCTTTTCTTCACTGATTTAGGAAACCTCAGCCCTTGATGGTCTGCACTATAGTTATTTTTGCCTTCCTTGATAAATGCAGATCAGAAAAAAACAAGTCATATAGAAAGAGGTACAGACATATTCCCTGGGATTTGAGATGGCTACAACAATCACAATCACCTCTATGAACATTCTAGGACAGTGATGGCAAACCTTTTGGGCTCGCCGTGTCAAAAATTTGGAAAATCCCTAACTTGACTCTGCTGGCGTGTCACACACACACATCCCGAACAAAAGAGAAACAATTCTTTAGATATTCATTTATTTTAAAAAGTCCAGTCCATCCATGTGTGGTGCTATGTAT